TCAAGTCTGGTTATGATATTAATTTTGGAACTGATTTGTTGCTGCACAAAATTTATGAAAACAGGAAATCTTTCACAACTGAAGTATAATTCAAAATAATGGTTGGTGACACTAATTTAAATAGGATGCTTGTTCCATCTCACCATTTATTTTATTGATAAAAATGTATGTTGTTCAACCTTTGAAATTCAGGTTGATGGTCAGTTCCGAACAAGCATTCCTGGAATTTTTGCCATTGGAGATGTGGCAGCTTTCCCGTTAAAGGTATGCTTGATTAAATCTTCCTTCTTTTCTGCGGTTGTAAAATATTACCATATCTTGTACATACTCAACAGATGTACAACCGGATTGCACGAGTTGAACATGTTGACCATGCTCGACGATCGGCCCAGCATTGCATTAAAGCATTACTTAGTTCACAAACTCACACGTATGTTGGATTCTCCTCAGTTAGAAACTTATTTTCATAATCTTGATTCATTATCGGCGTATATTTCCTTGTGCAATACCTTGATGATTGCATTGCTGCATGATGTCCAGATATGACTATCTCCCATATTTTTATTCGAGGGTCTTTGAATATGAAGGAAGCCCAAGGAAAGTTTGGTGGCAGTTTTTCGGAGACAATGGTCAGGATCTATATTTCTTGCCTTCTGCATTACAAATTACAATCAAGGTTTCTGTCGATCAAGTTTTATGATGCATATTATGCTATGTTTGCTACTGACTTGTTTTTCCTAATGAGCAGTTGGGGAGACTATTGAAATCGGGAATTTTGATCCGAAGATAACTACTTTCTGGATGGACGCTGGTAATATTATCTGTTGTAGATTTCTTTTATGTGCCTGTGTTGGCTAGGAGGCGAGGGTTTGGTTTGCTCATGTCCACAACAGTAGAAAAGGACTAATATACGCTTGCTTTGCTGCAGGTAAACTGAAGGGGGTTCTTCTTGAAAGTGGAAGCCCTGAGGTATTTGTTGTCCCCATAACTCTTTAGGTCAAAAATGGATAAAAGTTGTTATCGTAGGGAGCGGACATATTAATGTGGCATGGAGTTTAAGTTTGGCATTGTTATAAGAGAAAGAAATATATATTTCAAATGGAATAGCAGGATATTTGAAAAAGTTTGTTTGGAGGTTAACAAGAGCTGTGTTATTAATTCTTCATGTTCACAAGTTGCATAAAAGCTCTGTTTGCTCCACTAGTACAAAAAATAAAATTTTGAAACCTTTGAATAGCTGAGTTGGACTGTTATAATTGATGATTACCTTTCTTCTACTTCAATGGTCTGTTGGAGGGAAAAATAAATAAGGATGCAGGAAAGCAGCAGCAAATGTTTTAATTAGAGTTCTTTCAACCGTATTTTGCAATAAACTGACACTTGCTGAGAGTACTTGCTTGTAGTTTGTATACAAACTATACTGATGACAACTTTTTTTTGGTTTTAGGAATTTCAACTCCTTCCCAAACTTGCGAGGAGCCAGCCTTTTCTTGATAAAGCTAAACTTAAGAATGCAACTTCAGTTGAGGAGGCACTAGAAGTTGCCCGAGCTGCCTTACAGGATGAAGCTGCAGTTTAGTTCAGGATTACATAAATGAATGTTGCATAGCAAGCTTGGTACAAACTTCCATCTTTTTGTACCTAAATCTTTTCTAGTTCTCACCCAACCTCTTCCTGCAACACAATCGAATCATGTGTATTAAGAGCGTGAGAGAGAGAGAGATGCATCTGGCAGCAGTTTAGCAGATGTGATAATAATTCTTGACCAATAAAATGCGTGTTTGAGATTTTCTTCATGGTGCATTTGGATGTCCCTCCATTCCTGCACATTGTATTACTCTAGTGTATATACTTGTAAATAATGATGTCCGGTTGCATATGTATTAAAAGATACAAAGGGAGAGAATCTACATACATGGAATGAATATGAAATAGCCAAGGAGGGATGTGAGTGTACACTTCAGTGAGGGTGTAATTTGGGCGGGTTAACCCAAAGACAGCTTGAAAATAATACAGTTTGGGTGGAAGTTTTTAAAATTTGTTTTGTGCTTGGGTTAGAAAATTTCAACCCGAATTATATTTGGGTTGTATTTGAGTTCACGACTTTAACCTGAATCCTGGTCCAAATTATTAAAATTGGATTTAGCCAGACACATAAAATTTTAAATATATTTTAGATTTTTATTGAATTTAAGTTAATCAGATAAATGTGTCATGCCCAAAATTAAACCCGAATTACAAGCTCGAATTTAACCCAAATTACGAGCTTAATTTGAGCCTAAATTAGTTAAACTTACTCAACTCGAATTGAGCCCAAAACTAAATTGGGCAATACTCGGGTTAAGTATATTGGGTTGAAAGTCGGCCTCAAATTAAATTAGGGTTAATTACAAACTTGAATTTGACTTGAGTTGATTCTTTAACCCATCCAACCAGTCCCAGTTGCAGCGGTAACACTTAGCCTTTGATGAGACTCAAAATTGGAAAGGCTTGTATGACCACCCGGATAAAGGGAAAGCCTTTTCAAACACCAGAAAAATTCGCATTAATTTTAAAAACCAAAATATAAAAAAATTGTACTATCTTACCTGCCGAGGAGTTAGAAATTTCGAAAGAAAGTCAAATCGAATATATTAATAATAAATTTTTAAAAATAACATAAAACTAATGGGATGAAAATTAAGGTCATGTTTGGTTATCATCTCGGAAACAATTTTTTGTTCTCAAAATTTTAAAAACATCCAAAATCTGTTTGTTTTGTATTTTTGTTATCTAAATTTTGAGAAAAAAAATGAGATTTGAGTAAAAAAAACAGAAAACAAGTATACCTTGTGTTTCAGAGTTTTCTTTGAAAATTTTAGAAATAAGGATAACATATATATATATATATATATATATATATATATATATATATATATATAAACAAATAAATATGTATGTGTATATATATAAATTCGTATATATACATATATATAAATAAATATATATATATAAAAACAAATAAATATGTATGTGTATATATATACACTTATATATAAATTCGTATATATACATATATATAAATAAATATGTATATATAAAAACATATATATATTAATTTATTTATATATATGTATATATACGAATTTATAGTATATACTTGTATATAAATTCGTATATATAAGTATATACTATATATATAAATATTTATTTATATATATGTAGTATATTATATATATATATATATGTATATATATATACATACATATAAATAAATTAATATATATATATACACACACAATAAATAAATAATATATATATTATATTTATGTATAAAAACATACATATATACTGTGTGTATATATTATATAATATATATAAATAAATATATATATTTTAAAGTTTGATTTATTGAATTTTTTTTTTATGAAATTGTCAATCTAAAAATAATTTTTTTATATTTTTGATTAATGTTTGAATTACTGTTCAAATATATATTTAGGTTGTCCAAATAAGTTTTACTATTTTCTATATTGTAAAATTGTTTTTGAAATCATCTAACCAAACAAGTTTTTTATGTCAAAAAATATCAAAATCACTTTCTTAAAACTGTTCTCAAAAACTGTTTTCGAATACTAGTTTTTCAAACGCAAACCAAACAGACCCTAATATTTCCCCGGCTACAATCAGAGCTGCAAGTTTCTGAAATATATCATAAACACACTTTTTTTATAATTAATTTTCACTACAATTCGGCCCGAATGTAGTCCCCAATTTAATATGACTAGGTCAATAAATTAAATACAAATGGTATTGTTCATTATGACACATCGCTAATCCAACTATTTTAATAAATTAAACTAATTAATAAATATAATCAACAAAGTAAATTAAAATAAACATTACTCATCCCATTTTACCCTCCGCAGTCGGCAGTCTCTATGATTGCCCAACTTTAGTAATGTGCATTTACGAGCAATTTAGCCTTGGCTTCGAGCCAAAAGACACTGGCAACCATTCACAACGATGAATCCAAGTTCCAAATCTTCGAGTAAGTAACCGAAAATGGCCAAACTTGAATTGACCCATCAAGGAAAGATTATGTTCTTTTTTTTTTTTTGGTTGGTTGAAGGATGGGGAGTATTTGAATTTAGTTTGTGTATACTTAGATTAATTCCTACTCTGAAATTAGAGTATTCATGAGAGATAAATTTTTTATAATTTAATTTTAAAAAATTATTAAAATTCAAATTTAAAACATTTAATTTTAAGTTTATTCCTGTTACCACTTGAGCGGTCCCTGGATTAATTTATAGATTTTTGGGTTTTGATTACCAAAGAATAGAGACTTTACAAATAAAACCCGAGGATTGGCCTTCCATTGCTGTCACTTTATTTATGTAAGATTATAATTATCTACCTTTCTAATGTGCCTATGATGTAACACCAGGCGAACATTATTTGGACTCTTAGAATATGGCGCGCTTGAGATTTTCTATTTGATTGTTTCAAAAGGTCCAATGAATTGGAATTTTTTTATTGGTTCATTTCATTTCAAGACAAGTGTATCATTTATGACGAAAATAACGAACTTCAAGAAAATAATTCGGAGTTAGAACTATGCAATACCTGACACGAGATAAATCTTCCAAAAAAAACAATACTTTTTACGAATTAGTCAATACGTTTGGGACCTGCAAATCCACTCTTTCTCCTTTTTAAAGATCAGCCCCGGTTAAAAGTAACATTACGTTCAACGTTCAACCTTTAGACGCAAAGAGTACTTAGTTCCTTCTTATAGACGGTCTCTCTCTCTCCAAGTTTCTCTTTTTGTCATTAGGTGGAATCCACATAGGCCTTCCCTCCCTTGTTCGAATTCTCCACCTGCTCTGCCTAGTTCTTCTTTTTGGTCTTATATGCATTGCCCATAGATATAAACAGTCCGAATCACCATTTCTGCGGTTTCTTAATGATTTCTTATCTCTCTTCAAATCCGGGTCAGAAGCCTGAAGTCAAGTAAAATGAAGGTAAAATTTCCGATGCTTTTTGATAAACTAATAAAACCATGATCGTTGATGGGTTTCATTTTGTTTTCCATCTACATTGTCACATCGACCAAACCATATCTTTTGGGGGATTTTTTAAACTTAAAATTTTGGGAAGTTCTTGTTTGTGGGTTTTGTAGTTTCGATTGCATAGTTCAGATTTTTAAGGAGAATCAAGGGAGCTAGTGAAAATTACACCCTCATTTTGTTAGGAAGCATGAATCTTTCTCTGCTGTGCACTTCTTTCATGAACTCTGGTCTGATGAAGATTAGATTGTCATTTAGTAAAACTATGTTGGGCTCTGTTTAATACTTGCATGTCAATTACATGTATTCATGGCGGATCCGGTGCTATTTATTAAAACAACGCCGCTCTATTTAACAAAATAACGCCGTTGCGTTTTAGTGCAAACGACGCTATTTTAATCAACACCACCTCTGCGTTGATTTTCTAACCGCTTATATCCCTTGGGAGCTTGCTGTGCTTTGTGTGTACCATCTGGGAGCTTGAGTGGGCCCCTACTCTTTTTGTTTCCTTTGGTTGAATCAGAATCTTTTCAGAAGTCCAGTTCTTTTTGAAGCAATAAAAGAAAGTTTGTCTTTTGGTTTGATTATATTGTGAAAATTATTGGGTTGTTAGTCTTTTTGGCATAGGAGTAACTGTTATTGGGCTTTATTGTTGCAGAAAGTGGTGCTGAAGTTAGATCTACATGATGGTAAAGAAAAACAAAAGGCCATGAAGACAGTGTGTAGCCTTTCAGGTAATTAGTTCAATTGGTTGACACACACATGCAACTATTAATTAGTTTATTGATCTGATTTCACTTGGCCTCTATTTTGTTTAGGAATTGAATCAATTTCTATAGACATGAAGGAGAAGAAATTAATTGTGGTCGGCGATATTGATCCAATTCAGGTTGTTAGCAAACTGAGAAAATTGTGGCACACAGATATATTAACAGTTGGGCCAAAGGAAGCCGAAAAGAAGAAGGACGATGGAAAGAAAGACGAAGGTAAGAAGGATGAGGGAAAGAAAGATGATGATAAAAAGAAGGATCAAAATGAACAGATTGCAGACCTTGTGAAGGCCTACAGAGCTTACAATCCTTGCATGACACAGCATTACTATGTTTACAGTGCAGAGGAGAACCCAAATGCTTGTGTTATCTCTTAATTACTAAAAAAAAAAACAGAGGATTTAAGAGATTTGTATTCATTGATGGTGGATCTTAATCATGTTGAAGAACCAAATTGAGACAATAAAAAGGAAGGTTCAATTTACAGATGATGGTGGTTTTGGATGATTGATCCTTGTTAGTGTTACAGGCTACAGCAGATAAGGTGTATATACACTATCCCATGGAATAAATGTTTGGAACTCAATGAGGATATTAACTTTATTTTTGATGAAAGATTGACAAATATTCATGGAAAAAAATTGTATGAACGCGTTTTTAAATAAATGTTTTGGATGATTAATCTTTCATGTGTCTTTCAAATCTAAAGTGCTGACTTGATTTGTTAGGATCTACTATCAATAATTCAATGACTCTGATTAATTCAAATCAATGATGCTGCTTAAAATTTCCAAGTTTGGCACTATCAAAGAAGCATCCCCCCCCCCAACCCATTTTTCATGTTATGTTATTTGACTGCGACATACTACGCCAACAACAACCCAATAGATTTTCCAGGAGAAACTTCAACAATGCCAGCAAAATCACCTCAATGACAAGATTAAGTTGATTATTTACATATCAATTCGTGGTTCAAATGAAGCTACTACGCCTTTTTGAATTGTGTCCGATTGGAAAATCAGAGGTCCATTGAATTGTACGCACTTGTTTTTTCTGCTTTATTTCTTGGAAAACCTGTCTAAAGGACCTTCTTTCCACAAGTAATGGTCGTTGTTTGGCTCAGTCTTGACCAACTCATCAGTTTACGGTTTCGAATTTTTTTTTTTTAATATTTTTACATATCAAGTTAAAATCTTTTAAAGATTAAGTTATAATTATTTGAGATAATTCATGATCGAACATTAATACCGCCACAATTAATTAAAAGGGATTCTTTGACCTTTAAAAATTGTAAATTCTTAATACCTTTTACACATTGGATGCCAAAAAAAAAAGAAAAGAAAAGAAAAGAAAAATTTAGTAATCACCACTCGGCAGATCGTCCACTCTTCACTTTTCCTTTAGATTGTGGTTCATCCTTCTTGTTGATCATTGCCGGTTCGCTCATGTACTTGAGTCAATATAACTTGCACGAGATTCAACAATCAAAACTACTAATAGTCTTGAGGGGACGTCATCCTCCGATAATTGTTAGCAGTATTGTTTCACTTTGAAAATTCAAACCTCAAGAACTCTACAGATCTCAGTGCGAAATCTTCTGCTTGCAACTCTGATCCTGAACCTCCTGGCTTCTGATATTAACTGTCATGGTGCAATTCATTTCCACAACAACATTTCTCTTAATGATCTTTAGTATCTTCACACGGCCACCGATACTTGTATAGCTGCTCACTGGCAATAGCCCTGAAACCAGATCACCGCTGAGCCGCGGCACCGCCAGTATCCTCCCAAGCATAACGTCTACTGTAACATTCATTCGAATTGTCCGTCCAGCACTGGCATGCCCTGGCGGAGTCCGAGCCTCACCGACAACCTTACCATCATAGTAAAGACTTGTTGTGACATTATTGAATTTGAAGGAAGCAACATTAGGATTCTTCACAGAAACATCGGCCAAAACCGTCAAGTTGGTACCTGAGGGAAGATTAGTCATGTTTACAACATCCAATCCTTCCATCTTCATTGAATTTATCTTCATCACCGGGTTTTTGACCCGAAAAACGGTGAAAACAAGAACCAATATGATCACTGCCTGAATTAGCATAAGCGCGGTGATGCAGCCACAGCATTTGATATATTTCCGGTGGCGGTGGTGGCTCTTCAGTTCCATGGATATGGCGTCGTCTTCATCGACGACGACGACGTTGATCCGGTGGAACGCGGGGGCTAAGGGTCTGACTTGCTCTTTCTCTGCCATGGCTGAAGTTACAGATGGGTGGTCAGTGGTCACAGGCTGGCTGTTCAGTGGTGGTATGTGAAAAGAAGAAGAAAGCTAAGAGGAAGAAAGCTGAGCTTTACATTCCCTTTTTTCTGAGTGGTCCAACGTTATAAAAGAAGGAAGTAACCATGGAGTCTTGTAGTTTGTCCTAATTCTAAACGCGTTTACTCGGCTTTGAATAATGACTAATGACTTCAGACTTTTGTGCAAGAAGCTTCCTAAACGTTTACGAAGAAACTATGAAGGCTTTAATTACATCCGTCTCCAAAGAATATAATTTATTTTATTTTGATTTTTAATATTTTAATATATTATTTTAATTTCTGAGTATATTTTTATATAATCCTTCAAGAAGATAACGTTTAGACTGAGATTGCTAGCTAATGTGTTTTGATTATAAACTTATCACATAATACTTAAATATAGGTAAAAAAATAATTTAAATAACTCTTAACCAATTTTTTATTCAAAAATTGGTGAAAAAGTTACCCAAATTATACAGTTTTAAACATGAGCTATTTAAATTTTAGTTAATGGTTACTCATATTACATATTTTTAGTCAAGAGCTATCCAAATTTTAATTGAAAACTACTAAAATTATTTTTTGTGTATATTTAAGTATCACATGATAAGTTTATGATTAAAAAACGTTGGCAAATTAGATGTTGTCTATAGAGGGATCACACAGAAACATATTTAATATTTTAAGGATCAAAATCATGCAATTAAAATATTAAGAATCAAAATGAGATAAATTTTATACTTTAGAGTGTAATTAACCCAAAGTATGAAACTAGATACCTATATTAAATGCTAAGCTATACCGGTCGTGCAACTCACGCAAACATGTTAAAATAATATTTTTTTAAAAAAAATTAATTATAATATAATTAAATTAAATAATTATTACTAAATTTAATTATTAATTTATTTTTCCCCTTTTAGGTTACATAATCTATCTTTTTTTAAGTATTTCTTTGGCTTTTTTAGACATTTCAAAGAAAGTAATATTCGGGTATTATTAATTTTATAATAATAATTAAGAAAAAAAAATAGAAAATCAAATTTTTTTATAGATGTTGATATTTATAAATAGTATAGATTAGCGCATTTTCGATCCTTACCATTTTTAGACTTAAATTTAAATTAGGTAAAAAGATACCCGTGCTAACCAACCCAAGTCTAAATGTCTTCTGGCTCAGGGTAAGTCTTTTCAGACGTTTAAAGGGTGGTTCATTTTTCAGATGCAACCTGAGGTCGAATCTCCGGTCATACAGTAGTTCTCTTTTCTTTCTCTCGTTTTCCTAATGCTCCGTTTGGTACGATGAAAAAATGGAAGGATGAAAAGTTGAAAGGATAAATAAAACATCATGTTTGGTAAGGAAGGAAAGATAGAAAAATAGATGAGTTAATTTTTATTCCAACTCACCAAAATCAATACCTCCAAAATTGAAAGGAAAGTTGATGAAAAGTTAATTATTTGTGTTGAGATATATCTTATTTGCTTATATATCTTTTTATATATACATTAATTTTATATAAAAATACAATTGTAAAATATGTGTATATATATATATATATTTAAACAAAAATTAAAATAAAAAATAAAATTTTAAATTTTAAATTTTAAATTTTAAATTTTAAATTAAAAAAAAATTTCATTTTAACTAAGGGTGAAAATTTTCGACTCAACACGATGATACGACTCGAACTCGATACAAAAATAAACAGGTCAACTTGCAACTTGACACGACACAATTAGTTAAATGAATTAAGTTAGGTTTCACTAGTATTTGATATAAACTCGTAATGACTCAACACGAATCTGATACGATGCGATTTGATTGTCATCTCTAATCTTAGCCAACAAAAAAAAAAAAAAATAGTCATTTTTATTTTCCATCCATCCAACCAAACACAAAGAAAAGAAAGTGTATACTTCCGACTTTCATCCTTGAAGGATAGAAAGTGTATCCCTCCTACTTTTCATCCTCCCTACTAAACGGAACATAAGAATAAATTAGACTATCTATGTAATTGGTGAGGTGGGGTATAGGTATAAATAAATGATGGAATTAGGTAATTGGCTCACATCCATTTCTATACAAATTGTATTAATAAGAGTACTATTTGATTCCCTAATTGCTAGGACCGTCTAAGATAAGGATCCTTTAAGTTAATTTTGATGACACAGTATTTAGTACGGAGGGTGCTATTGGGGTGGGTGTGGTATGTTAGAGTATGTGTGGCTCATATTTGCTGTGTGCATAATGGCAAGGAGGCAGATGCCGGAGCGTAGCGGAGTGGAGCCCGCGACGACATCTGCCTTGCGGGATTTGTATAAAGGGGACGTTGATTAGTTGGGGGTGCAGGGGCAACGCCCCCGCGGTACGGTACATGAGTATTTTTGTAAATACGTCCGTATTAGGGTTATATAAATACTTAAGATGTAACCCTATTTTGAATAATGAAAAAGAACGGCCGCTCGCTCTCGTGGATGTAGGCACATTGTCGAACCACGTAAATCTCTGTGTGTTATTTTCTCCTGCTTTCTTAATTGTTTGATTCCTTACTATTCACCATAATTGCTGCACGATCACAACATGATAATTTGCGATGAAGTCTAAGAGGATAATTACTTTGGGTGAATCGCAAATTACAGAGACCATTGTTGCAAAGGAAGTTGTGCTTTTTGCTAAACAGATCGGGTGTGATGAGATTGTGCTGAAAGGTGATTCATCTGTGATCATAAAGAGGATGAACGATAATTCTGAAGATTTTTTCTCTCTTTGGCATTATTATTACATATGTTTAACACGTTCTTTTCATATTTATTTTTTCTATATTGTCCACTGTTAGACAATCAGGAAATTATATAGCACACCAATTGGCTAAAAAAATTGGATGTGGTGAAAATATTGATGTTTTGGAAGAGATGACACCAAATTTTTTGATGTCGTCCGATTTATCTTGTTAATATAATTTCTATTAGTTTCAATTAAAAAAAAGAGAGTATTATTTGATTCTATCATTTGTGTAACAAGTTTAGATCAAGATTGAGATAAGTTATAAATTTATAATTATAAAATCAAATTTATGTTTATATTAGGTAATAATATATGGTGTTAGATTGAAAATAACAAAAAAAAATATTGAGGGTAAAAGTTTGTATAATGTGTAACTTTTATATGAATGTGTGTATCTAGGTTTGTAAGGATAATAAACTCATTGTGTTTTTAATACTAAACTTGTTAAAAATAATATCACCTACCACATGGTATTCATTAATACTTAATATTAAGTGTTAAATGACAATAATGAAACTGGTCGAGATTAATTAGAAATTAATATTGGATCCCTATAATCCAATCCAAACTTGATATTATATTATCGTCTAATTAAATTAATCTAATCCTCTCTCTTAATACTTAAACCAAACATACCCTAAATAGGGATGAAACTTGGGCAGCCTAACCTAAAAAAATTGAAATTTGGGTTAAGGTTTTTAAAACTTGAGTTGACCTTGGATTAAAATTTTTTAACCCAATTAAATTTAGATAATACTCGAGTTGAGGCTTTGGGATAACAAGTTTAATGGTGTATGTTAACGTGGACGAGTAGAAGGTTGAAATTATACTTTGCAATTTGGGTCTAAGCAACTAGACTCGTGAAGATCGAGATCATGATTTCAGGGATTGAGGTGATATACACAGTGAAAATATAGTGGTTTACCAACTCGAAAGTTCGGCTAATCCACTCTTCAATAGAAATTCTTGCTCCTTTTGTTTCAATCATCAGGAATGAAATTTACAATCTGACTTTTATGCAGCTAAAAGGTCCCCCCGTTATTAGAGGTATTATATAGTATTTATAGAGCTGTTCCTTAATCTGTGGGATCTCTGTCGAGATTCTAGCCTTTCATCCATGGATTTCTCCTTAATTTTTGGATAGTATTTTGGTTGGTTGAAGGTTTTGCACCTTAAATATAACTCTTTGTCACTTATAGGGTTCCAGCTAACATGCATCTGTTCTCTTATCATTTCCGTTATTATCTCGTTTGGGGGGAGCTCTGGTTTCGATCCTCTAAGTTCTGCGTGTCTTGTCTGACCTCCACGCCTAAACTCATACTTTAAAAATTATTCTATGTATCATCCGAGTTCAACACAAATCCAACCCAAATTAATAAAATTGGACTCAACCCAACAAATTATGAAATCGGGCTCAACCCAACAAATAGGCCCTTAATGGATGTGTAGGCATCCAAGTGTTGAACAGCGTCAAATGTGAAAAAAAGAACGTAATTTCCCTTACCTAGGTTGATTTTAAGAGCTTATAATTATTTTCAGTGAAAGACAAATGAAAGCATGAAATTCCTTCCTCCTTTGGTTAAACTTGTTTTTTTTTTTAATAATTAAAAAAACGTGGGGGCAAAAGAGAACACCCAAAGATCACCCTGATAAGTCTTTATTGGTGGAATTCATGAAGTCCCTCACCGCGCCTGTTACACCTCTTGGAAACGATCTTAGATAGACTAACATAATGATTAACCACCTCCAATTTCTTAATAAAAAATTTGGCCAGTATCCTACTGGACCACCCTACTTGATAGTTCGTTTGGTTAAACTTTCCTCAATCAATATACTATCATATTCTCAGCAACAATTCATAAACTACATGATAAATTTGGGATCGAGGTTTTGATCGAAATAAGTCACAACTTTCATATACTCAAAATCAGGCCTAAAATATAGTCCAAACTTTCTTAACCTACGCCCTGCCCTGAAACTATAATAAAAGCAATGCATTTTGTAAGGGCTTGAATTAGTCGTACCCATCAGTTGCACCCCTAATAAGTATTCATTTATGGGTTCATTTTATCCTTTTATTATTTTTTTTCAATTAAATGATAATATTGTGTGTCGGCATCACTGTTACTCTGAATATCTTCGGATTGAGATGAGTCGATCATCGGGCCGAGGGGCAAACGTATCCTTCTCTCTCCAGGAGGACTAAGAAATAGGACTAGCGTCGGGCAGTAATGAATGTGATCATACCGGACAGGATTAGCAAGTGCAACATTGTTGTCCTGTAATCTACAAGGGAAAAGTAATATCAACTAAGTTTTCTTATTCTTTAAATATTGAAGAACTAGTTATTGCATCTATATGAAGACACAAAGTAATAAAAAATATATTTATATTCATATCTAAAATCAAATCACAAACATAAAAGAGAGATAAATAAATTTAAATGTCGATTGCAGTGGGGTGAGAAGTGGTAGGCTACAGTGGTAGTAGTAAAAGACGGTGATAGTTGTGATGGGTGACAATGATCGTGGTGACGGTGGCAACGGCAATGGTGGTGGGGTGATGGTGGTGGTGGCAATCAAGGTGGGGTAATGATGGTGGCGGCAACAGCGGCGACAACAATGGTGGCGACGGCGACGATGGGAGCAATAGAGGTGGCGGCGACAACGGTGGCGATGGCAATGGTAGTGGTTGTGGTGGTGGTGGTGGTGGCGACGGTGGAGGTGGCGGCAGCGAAGGTGGTGGCAGTGGAGGTAGTGTTGGAACAATTTTAAACACTATTTTTTTAAAGTACTTATGCGAAATAATTTTTAAAAATATACTTTTAAAAAGTCACTCTAAAAACATCCTTAGGGGTCTATTTTTGTTATTAAATTTAGAATGTTAATATTAGCTGTTAGATTAACTTTAAAATAAAATTTAAAGTGATCTAAATGGCGAAAAGTAAAAGTCATTTTATTTATCTTTTAAAATTTGAATTATAAATTACTTTATTATATAGATAATTCGCTTGCAGCATATGGTTTGTCAAGTTGCTTTGAATTTTGATGAACGGTTGAAGCTGACTCATAGTCGTTGTTGCATCATTTGAAGGTATCTGAGGTGCTTTCTCAAGATTGGTGCAGACGACCTCTGTTTCATAGTGTCCGAATAGTCATATCCAAATGATAGACAAGTTTATAACCCAACACTTTCACATGACACAAATCCAAAAAACACCGCCCATTGATAAGAATAATAAGTAAATCAGGTTAGTTTTAAGATAAATACTATGATTTTGATCTGCTAAACTCATTTAACAGTAGGTGTAAGTAAAAAATGTTTGAATCCTTTTTTCTTTGGGTCGTTCATTGATCTAGTATGATAAAAATGAAATTAGTTTAGGACCAAATAGTTAATTAATTCATGGTAAATTTGATTGAGAGATGAACATGGGATCGATGATGAAGATATCATTTGAATACTTACAGTCCCAAGTTTTATAATATCCTACTATCTACACAAGAAAATTACAACTTATATACAACAACCCGAAATAAATTTTAAATGCACACAACGGAAGGAGAGAAGTGCGATTTACAATAATTTATGGTAGAAATTCAGAAAGCAACCATCAAGATCACTTGCAAAGCAAATTGTGAATGGCTTGGCTCGTCAAATTAAGACTCATGGTGCAATTCATTATAGCAGTTTTGTGCTTTTTAATTATCTTAAAAGCATGCACTTCACCCCTCAATTCAGCATAGCTTCTGATCATCTTCACCAACCCTGACTTGACTTCACTGCTTATATTCATATTTTCCGATAAACCGCCGTTTGCCCTCACTTGTACTGTAATTTTAACACTTTCTCTCTTTCTGGCTCTAACACTCCACCCATTAATCAGTGTATCACCAATTGTTATGTTACCATATAATACACTTGCCTTGCTGCTGTTTTTCTTCAGTTTGAACCGACCAAAGTTCTTGTTATCAACTGTGATCTGGGCAATCAAAGTCATATTCAATGAAGGCCAAGGTGAAGTGCTGTATCGTAGATTTTTCGTCGAGACTGAAGTTATTTTAACTTGGGGAGATTCAAAACGCAAAGCTATCAATGCAAAAATCAGTAAACCCACGCTTTGCAAGACTATTGCTGTGAGTATGTAGAAAAAGATTTTGCTGCTTCGTTTCTGGTGGAGATTTTTGTGCTTGGTCGATGAGAATGCTTCGTCGCTTCTGTGATGGATTTGGGTAAGTGCCAATGGGATGACTTGGTTCTCTTCTGGCATAGTTTTACTTTTAGGGAACCCTCTTTGTGTGTGTGTGTGTGTGTGTGTGTGTGTGTGTGTGTAAGAGAGAGAGAGAGTTGTATATTGTATTGGGAGGTGAAGGGTGTGTGCTGCAAAGATGTGGAATACCAGAGGTTCTGTGTAATGCATTCACTGGATTATATAAAGATGAAAGGAAGATAGATATGCATGTATGATGTATGTGGTGCTTGCTTGTGTGGGAATTAATGCGATCCTTTTCTTGTTTGGCCTACCTTTTCATAACTATGACACTAACTTCATGATCTGATTGGATGACTATTCTTCCTGTAAGGTCTGATTTGGTTAAAGAGGATACATCCGACCGCTTCATTATAATTGGAATGTCACGAGTTTGAGTCGCAGAAATAATTTCTCTATTTGTAAAGATAAAATTAGGTATATCTAATTCTTCTTAGATCCCCCGATAATAAAAATCACGTGCATTGAATACTCTATTTAAGACACATTCGATGACCAAGATAAAAAATTTTAAGAGTTAAAACGAGTCACGTCTAAATAGAATCTAAACATCCCCTATAAGTCTGTTTCAGGAGTGGTTGGGCTATGTTACCATCTATTGCCAGCCATAAATGCTGACTTAAATTATTGTGATTTATGAAAGTGAAAATTTCACTAACACCCCCTGAAAAATAGTCTAATTGCAAGGACACCTACTATATTTTTTGAAATATCACTCCCACCTGTCAAATTTTGTCCTTAACAGAATAGATGGAAATTCTACTTTTATATAATTACCAAAACTCTTTTATTCATTAACCCTTAATAGAACATTAAATTTCATTAATTAAAATTTAATTTTATTAAAATCTATTTTCAATTTCTTCAATTTCATTAAATTTATCAATTTCATCAGTTAATTTTATCAATTAACATTTACTTTCGTTAATTTAAATATTAATTTCATCATACTACCACTAATTTCATTAATTTAACAGCAAATTAATATCTAATTTTATTAAATTCATATTCAATTTAATCAAATTGATATTCAATTTATTTAATTCAAAATTTTGTTTCATCAAACTAGACTTCAATTTTATCAAATTAAAATTCAATTTAATCTAATTAACACATGTTTTATAATTTAATAGCAATTAACATTCAATTTCATCACACACCTATTCTGTTAGATGTCAACAATCAACTTCATGGTATTAATGAAATAAAATATCAAATTGATATTAATTTGGTGAAATTAAAGGTTGATTTAAGGAAAATTGAATATTTATTTGATGAAATTTAAGGTCAATTTTGTGTTAATTTTATAAAATTGAATATAATTTGGTATTAATTGGATAAAATTGAATGACGATTGGGTGGATGTAATGTTAATTTTATAAAATTTAATATTAATTTGACAAGATTCATTGTTAATTTTAGAAATTTGATGGTCACTATTGTAATTAATTTTATTAAATTGAATATTATTTTGGTATTGATTTAATTAAATTGGAGATGAGACTTGTTTGGGTCTAAAATTAGTATTATTCAAATTTGGTATTGACTTGATTAAATTGGACATGAGGCTTGTTTGGGTCTAAGATTAGTATTATTTAAATTTGGTATTGACTTGATTAAATTGGACATGAGACTTATTTGGGTCTAAGATTAGTACTATTCAAAAAAAGAATAAAAAATGTTTGGATATAGAAATAATATTTTATAATTTTACATTTCAAGGGAGAATTTGTCATTTAAAAGAGAAGATTCATTGACAGCAGCACTTTTTCCAATTTTCGCTTTGGCAGTAACAGCATTGACGGTAGGGATAGTAATTGAAACAAACATAAAAAATTATAGCGGTGACAGTAATATTTAAAAAATTATAGAGGGTGTCTCTACAATTAGGCAATTTTTCATTGGGTGTTTGTGAAATCTACCCTTTCTAAAACTACGTCTCTCAAAGTCGCAGCCCAAATTTAATTTATCAAATAATGTGATTTAATCTTAACCATTCAATATTCTTCTACTTCTAGGCCGAGATGGGGGATATGCGGACTTTTATTGGGGATGGGGGAAAATGGGTTCAAGGAAGTGAGGTCCAACTCTTCCCCTGTTCCAAGTAGCAATAGAGATTAATCGTACATTCAGATATTTTAAATTTAAATTTTAACAATCTTTTGAGATCAGGTTATAATAAATTTATCTCGTGTCCGGTGTGGATGATTCGTCTTTGACCAAATTAAAGAGATGATTAATTGAGATGCTCGTAAGCATACCCGAACATTCTTTACTGTTGAACGAAAAAAAGAAAAAGATAACTCTTTATAGTAATTGTCTTGTATTCTACTTACCACTTGCTGCTTTACCATTGCATTATGCAGGTATAGTTTTTCAATTTGTTATCTTTTAATCCTCGTTTCAAAAAGGGTAAAAGTGATAGATAGAAACCAGATCTTCAGCACAAGAAAATGGAACGAACTCATGCATATATAATATGATGATGGCTTCCAATTTAACATTAAAACAGAAAATGAAACATTACCATCAAATAGAAAAGAACAAGTATTTATTATTTACATCTGGATATACATATATAGTCC